TCAAGCTCTTGAGGGAAATTCAGGGCACCAGGGTTTAGTTTTAGGGTCATAGTGACATGGTGAAATGGGACTTAGTAGGGTTTAGGGTTTAGGGTTTAATCTAGGGCTTTCAGGCTTCAGCGCTAAGTTTTTTCAGGCAAACCCTAAACCGCCTAGGATTGTGAGCGAAGGCCATGGCCGCCCTCAGCTGCCAAAAAAGCGCCGCGAGCTGGGTTTAGGGTTTAGGGTTTAGGGTTTAGGGTTTAGGGTTTAGGGTTTAGGGTTTAGGGTTTAGGGTTTAGGGTACATAGCGTTTAGGCTTTAGGGTTAGGAGCTAGGGCTAGGGTTTAGGGCTTAGGGTACACCCTCTGACGCTGCTCTTAGGACTTAGGGCCCTAACCCCTAAACCGTATCCGGCGCTGTCGGCAGGATCGTTGCAAAGATGTATAGCGAACACAGACGGCTTTGGGTTTAGGGCTTAGGGCTTAGGGTGCAGGGTTTAGGGTTTACTGCAGAGCCGTGGCAGGAGCACCTTAGCAGACCCAGAACCAATTCTAAACGCCATGAGCCCGGAAACCCTCATCTTGGTGGTCTAGGGACCCAGGGCTTAGGTTCCCTTAAAAGCCCCTTTGAAGCCAAAAAGGGCTCGCTTTTCATTCCTAGGTTACTCTTGGGTCCCCACTTAAAACCCTAAACCCTAAAGCCTAAACCCTAAACCCTAAACCCTAATTTCCGCTGAAGGGTCTAGTGCTTGAGCAGCGCGAAGCCCATCTGAGTTTAAGATGCGGTTTAGGGTTTAGGGCTTGGGGTTAGGGTGCTAGGGTTAGGGTGTTTAGGGTTTAGGGTACCCTAAAGCCTAAACCCTAAACCCTAAACCCTAAACCCTAAACCCTAAACCCTAAACCCTAAACCCTAAACCCCCCCCCCCCCCCCCCGCCTTTGTCCAAGAGCTCCTGTCCTGCTCGTGCCGTGCTGACGCGTTCTCGCGTGGCCTCGTAGCCTTGGTGTTTCAGGGTTTAGGGTTTAGGGCTATCCAACCCGAAACCCTAAACCCTAAACCCTAAACCCTGAACCCTGAACCCTGAACCCTAAACCTGAAGCCTGAACCCTAAACCTGAATGCTGAACCCTAAACCCTAAACCCTGAACCCTAAACCCTCAGGAATCCTTGCATTTGAAACTTGCTTGGTCGCACTACGGCTTCAGGTCTGTCGCGCTGCGAGGCGTTTGATTTCGGCATCAAGGTTTAGGCTTTAGGGAATCATGCGGCGGGTGCAGGGTTGTGGGGTTTATGGAAGAATAGGGTTCAGGGTTTAGGGTTTAGGGTGCAGGGTGCATCTTAGAGCAGGTTGATGAGATGAGATCTAACATCCAGAGCACGACCCGGAAATCCCGAAACCCTACAGGGTCTAGGTAGCAGGTTTCGTAGGCCTAATTTCAAAGTTTAGGGTTTAGGTTTTAGTAACTTAAGGGTTTAAGGTTTAAGGTTGAACGTTTAAGTTTAGGGCTTAAGTCTAGGGCTTAGGCTTAATCATGCTTAATCCCTGAAGCCTCTGAAGCTAAGGAGCTTTAGTGTTAGGGTTCAGGGCTCCTAACAGCCCTCAGGTCAGTGTTTAGGGTCTGTAGGGTTCCTGCATAAAACTTTGCAAGCCTAGACCCAAGAGCAACCTACGAAGTAACAAAAACGCCCTTTTTTGTTGAAAGGAGACTATAAGGCAGCCCGACCGCTAAAAGAAAGGAATGAGGGCCTTGTCTAGGTCCTAGCCCTAAACCCCAAACCCCAAACCCCAAACCCAAAACCCCAAACCCCAAACCCTAAACCCTAACTGCGAGCCACGGCGCCGGCTTGCGCCTTCTCCTGCCCCACAAATACTAACCCTAAACCCTTCGGGTTGAGGGTTTCGGGCTTAGTGGCTTCGGGGCTTTTGTAGGGGTTTAGGGTTTAGGGTTTAGGGCTAGGGTTTAGGGCTAGGGTTTAGGGGTCGAAGTTGTAGGGCATTTAACAAGAACGTGGTGTGTACAGAGTCTCTTGGGCGTAGAGTGTGTAGCGAGGGTTGAGGGTGTTGAGGAAAAAGATGCCCACTAAGAAATGGCAATTGCCCACCAAGAGAGAAAAAGGAAATTGCCCCCGAGAGGTTTGGGGTTACAGGGTACATATAGTACGAGAGGTTTAGGTTCAGAGGGTTTGAGGGGGGGGGGGGGGTTTAGGGCTTCAGGGTTCAGGGCATCAGGGTTTAGGGAGGGCTTTAAGTCTCTGATTTTGCATGTTTGTAACTTGTTTAAAAAATCGAGGGTCGTAAGCCTTGGACTCTTAAGTGTTGAAAAAAATGACATGTAAAAACCCGAAATCCTCAAGGCCCTTATCCCCTCACCCTATAAACGATAAGCCCAGCCCAAGGCCTATCGGTTTTGGGTTTAGGGTTTAGGGTCTAGGGTTTAGGGTTTAGGGTTTAGGGTTTAGGGTTTAGGGTTCTGCAAACTGTAAACCCTCTAACCCTGAAGGGGTCTTAGGCTAGGATGGCCCTTAAGACCCTCTGAGCAATATTCTTGAAGATGATCCTCTTAAGCCCAAGAAGGGAACCCCCAAACCCTAAACCCTAAACCCTCAACCCTCAACCCTGAACCCTAAACCCTGAACCCTAAACCCTAAACCCTAAACCCTAAACCCAAGGGCCTACCGAGTAGGGTTTTGTGGACTCTGAAGACTGCTTGAACAGCCACCGGTCCTGGACGATGGCGAGTCCGTGCTCGAAGCCCGCCTTCACCTGCACCAACAGCCTTAAACCCTAAACCCTGAGCCCTAAAGCCTAAACCCTAAACCCTAAAACCTAAACCCTAAACCCTAGCCCTAAACCCTAAACCCTAAAACCTGGCCTAAACTCCATGGGTCCAGAACAACATGACGAGGCCTTAGGATAAGGGTTTAGGGCACAGAGCGCGATACAGTTCATCGACCCTAAACCTCTGAGAGTGTTAGGTTGCAGGCTTCGGGTCCAGGGTTTAGGGTTTAGGGCCAGGGTTTAGGGCTTAGGGCTTAGGGCTTAGGGCTTAGGGCTTAGGGCTTAGGGTTTAGGGTTTAGGGCTTAGGGCTTAGGGCTTAGGGTTTAGGGTTTAGGGTTTAGGGCTTACGGGGTTCTCTAAGCCCGAGGGTCTAACTAAGAACTCTCCCCAATCCGGGTCTTTCCAAAAGCAGGGATCCCATCCATGAATACGCATGTCCCAACTACAAGCAATGCTATCGAACCCCCACCCCCCCCCGCCCCCCCCCCCGCCCCCCCCAAAAAAAAATGAAAGGGTTCTCCTCCTTCAATATACCCCCCCCCCCCCCCCCCGAGACCCGGCGACAATCACCGCCTAAGACCTGCGGACATCCAGACATTCCCTAAACCCTAAACCCTAAATCCCAACCCTAAATCCTAAACTCCGTTGCGGGCAGGGCCTTGTCCTGCCAAGTCTCCGTCACCTGTCAGACAACAGTCCAGGCTCAAGAGTTTTTTGAAATTCATTTAGGGTTTAGGGTTTAGGGTTTAGGGTTTAGGGTTTAGGGTTTAGGGTTTAGGGTTTAGGGTTTAGGGTTTAGGGTTTAGGGTTTAGGGTTTAGGGTTTAGGGTTTAGGGTTTAGGGTTTAGGGTTTTGCCTTGTCAACAAGAAACCTCTAGAGTAAACTCCAGAAAGTTGGAACATGGATAAAGGGTTTAGGGTTTAGGGGTTTAGGGGTTTAGGGGTTGGGGTGTAGGGTTTAGGGCTCAGGTCCAGGGAAGTTCTTGGAAAGTCTCGAAGAAAGTTTCGGGGCAAGCTTTTCAGGTTACAGGGGGCTGGAGGGTTTAGTGTAAGGTATAGTCTGCAGGGTAGGGTTTTGTGTTTGTGGCAGGGTTCAGGGCTGGGAATCTAAGTCTTGGGAAATGTGTCTAGGCTTTAGGTCTTAGGCTCGAGGGTATTAAGGGCTTAGGGTATTTGCTTATTGGGTTTAGGGCTCGAGGGCTTAGAAGGTTTAGAGGGTTTACAAAATTTATGGCTTTATTAGGGGTTTAGGGGTTTAGGGGTTTGGGGTTAGGGTTTGTCGGGTTTTTGGGCTTTGTAGGTTGTACAAGTTGTATAGGATTTGTACTCATAGGCCTTCTAGCGTTTATGGCTTTATAGGGTCTCTGGAGCTTGCAGGGTTTTAGAGGGTGAGCTAGAAGGCTTTGGGGTTTAGAGTCTAGAGGGTGCAGAGGGTTTAGGGTTTAGGCGTGGCACCTGGACCATGTTGTTCTCAGACATCACCTGCGCACACCCAAGACAAGAGGACGCGGATTGCCAGGGGAAGCCATAGATCTAGAACATCTACAACATCTACAAACCTGACAAACCCAACAAACCCTCACAAGCCCATAAATCTTCTAGAAGAGGGTTTAGGTTCAGGGTTTAGGGTTTAGGGTTTAGGGTTAAGGGTTTAGGGTTTAGGGCTAGCCTTCCCCCACGTCATGCCAGGCCTGTGGCGCAGGCATTGCGGAGGGGCGGGGCAGGGCGCAGACCGACAGTTGGAAAGTGCTTTGAGGCAACTCTGCTGCGAGAGGGTGGGGTGTCGGTCCCGAGCCTTCTACATCCCAAAAAACGGGGTTAGCAGGGTTAGGGTTTAGGGTTTAGGGTTTAGGGTTTAGGGTTTAGGGTCTAGGGTCTAGGTCTAGGGTTTAGGGTTTAGGGCCTAAAGCCTAAACACCCCAAAGCCGGAGTCTCGAAGGAAACCTTCGAGGAGCCCTAAACCCCAAGCCCTAAATTTCCAGGGTTTAGGGTTCAGGGTTTAGGGTTGATGTCATTCCGATCTTGGAACCTTTTTTCGCAATCTTTGTATCTACACGCAGCGACTTATGTCGCACTCACTACGAAGCTGCTATATCCAGACCTATGTGCAGGCCCAAGATAGCGTTCACAAGACTTCTAAAGCGCACAAACCCAAGCCCTCGGAAAGGTGGCGCGCTTCGTCTCCAAATAGGCCTCCAATTGCTGTTGGACGTGGTCCAGAGTGTCACTGGCTCACTTGAGTCACTTGAGTCGCTCAAGAATTCCGGGAATGTGGAATGCGTCCATGAGCAACTTCTCCTTTTGGCGAACCTTGCGGAAAAGGTCCTTCCAGAACTTGTCAACCTGCTTGAACTTTGCCGCTTCTTGTGGCACCTGCCTCTGGATGTCCTCTGCCGAGAAGGTGTTCTCCAAATACATCCACGCTCGCTGAACCTATGCTGAACTTGGAACCCTAGCAAAAAACATAATTTTAGCTGCTTCTTAGGACTTAGTATACCCAAGAATTTAAAACCATTCTGAAGAATGCCTAAGGAGCAGTGTACCACTCGTCTATCACATCAGCTGCCTGGTTGACCCGCTTCTCCCAAATCTCCACCTTCTCACGGATGCCATGGATAAACCGACTCCCCATCATGGTCGCGATGGTCGCGCCGTGATGCTCACTGCGGGTGATGACATCTTGGAGGTCGCCGAGAAACCCTAAACCCTAAACCCTAAACCCTAAACCCTAAACCCTAAACCCTAAACCCTAAACCCTCAACCCTAAACTACTCTTCTGATTCCTGTGGTTCATGATCGGCAGCTCCAGATCTGCGCACGCCGCTGGCATGTGCAGACACGGACACGTACTCGCAGTGGTCAGGGATGCTGGCCGCAGTTGGACCCTTCTATGTCAGGTTGATCTTCTTAGGGTGGTTGTCAAAATCATGGTCCCTTTTGGGGTCCCTATTATAATACGGCACCTAATATTTAGGGTACCCAAAAAGGGACCATAATTTTGACAACCACCCTCTTGAGTTTTTTCTCCCAAGGCCAAGGGCGAAGAGCTGAGCTCCCAACATCCAGGATGCCTGAAAGCTCCCAAGGTTTAGGGCTGCAACGGTTTAGGGTTTAGGGTTTAGGGTTTAGGGTTTAGGGTTTAGGGTTTAGGGTTTAGGGTTTAGGGTTTAGGGTGCCATTCCTCGATCATGGCTTTCACTCGAGCTGCCACTTCGTCGCCCTCCACAGATCTCGTGAGGCCATTGGCAGTTTTGTAGGAAGCCATGACTTAATTGTTCATGGACTCAACATCCACCTCCACGAACTCAGACACATTCCAGTTGTGGGACATCTATTGCCACTGTCCAGAGCTTGAGCTTGTCATCGAAAACCTTCCGAGTTTTCGCGACTTCGACGGACTGTAAATGCCCGTTGCTTTCCTCCTCAGCTTGCACCTGGCATACTGCACCGAGCAGGCCACCCTAAACCCAACGACGATCTTCTCTGCATCGATAAAGCTCCCGGTGCACAGCTCCTGCGCCACCCCCTTCATCCCCTCCCTACTTTCAATGCCCTCTGGTACGTCTCCGGGGCCATCTCTTTCTTCATCTCGGCAATGAACTGGCTGGCTTCTATCATATATCTTCTTATGTCTTCTTGGTGAAATCGCTCTCCTCTGCCTTGAGCCCTTCGTAAACAACTTCGTCGTCACTGGGCATCCTCACTTGGTACTTCCTTATCAGAGAATACAGTTGCTCAACTTCGAGCATGAGGTCCTCCATTTCCGGCCTCTCGTCTTGGGCAGCGTGATACATCTTCACGTAGTTGGCAAACTTGCCCAGGTCCTTCGATCTTTCTTCTAGAAGCTGTTCACCTGGTCGCAGCGACTGTCGCAGTCCTTGCACTTGTCCTGGGCTAAGCCAATGAGGAAGTTCTTCAGACAGTTTAGCGAAGCCTCCTGAATCTGTCTTTCAAGCTGGAGAATGATGCCCCTTGCATGGGCTTGGCGAAGAAACAGCCCCTGCTGAGACGCTGCCTGTGGTGGCAATAGACCTCGTGTGGTACCTTCGTGCATCACCGAGTGATCGCCTTCTTGTGGATGTAAAACCTTGAAGAAGTTGATGGACTGCAGCACGCGGAACCTCAAGCTCGGATGCACCCAAAAGGTCAGCGAGATGCACTCGGATGGGAGACCCGGTGCCACATGCACGATGCGTGAAATACTCCGGGTCTACCTGAACCCTCTGGCACAACCATCAAGTCACACGGAGCAAAATGCTCCGTCTCTGTTCGACTGGCATACAAGAGCTTTGCCTTTGAGACACCTCCACTGTTGGCGAATGAAATCTGCAATGGCGTCCTCGCCAGTCTGTTTTTGCTGCAACTCCTGGCTCCAATTCGTCTTCATTCACCTCAATGCCACGCAAGTTGCCCAGCTAGGGAGAACCTCCTCCGCAGATTTCTCTCCAGCACCCGAACCCCAAAACTGCCCTAAACTTCATCCCTAAACCCTAAACCCTAAACCACCAGCCCGTCACTCTGCATGCTGGCGTCCGATGGACCTGCCAAGGATTTTGTCTCCAGTCTCAAGGCTTTGAGGCTTACAGGTGGTTTTGGGCTACATGCCCTAAACCCTACACCCTAAACCCGAAATCCTAAACCCTAAACCAAAACCTAACCCCTAAACCCTAAATCCTAAACCCTGTAAGAACCACAACAGGGTTTGGGGGATTCGGACTTCGGGCTTCAGGGATTAAGGGGTCGGGGGGGGGAGGGGGGGGTGGGTGGGGTGGGGCTTAGATTAGGGTGGCGGAGCCCACAAAAGCGGCAGGCAAGGGTATTTGGGGGTTTGGCCAAATAGTGGGGTTCCCTTCTAATAAGGACTCCAATAAGGTATCCTCTAATATCGTACACCCCCATTTAGGGTTGAAGGGTTTATAGGGTTGAAGGGCTTGAGGGTTTATAGGGTTGAGGGTTCCTAGGGTTTCTAGGGTCTTTCTGTCTTTCTAGGTTTTTGGGGTTTAGGGAAACCAAGACCCCACACCCAAACCCCAACAAGCCAAAACCAACAATGACAAACTCAAGCCCCAGAACCTACGTAGGGCGGGTTCTGGGGTTCAGGTGTGGGTTTTTTTTCGGCTGTGGGTTGCCATAGATCCTAGACCCTAAAACCCTAAACCCTAAATCCTAAACCCTAAGCCCGTCAACCCTAAAACACCCTTAATCGTACACCCTGTTGCTTTCGGTTGGTATAAGGTCCTTGAGGGAGGGGGTGTTAAATGGGAGGTAACCCTAAGTTTCGTGGTACTCCCTTAACCCTGAACCCTAGTTCTCTCAATGCTCCTTCAGCTTCCTACAGAATTCCTTGGGTACCTCTGAACCCCCCCCCTCCTCCGTAAGAACCGTCTAAACTTACGGTTTCACTTTCTATAGCTGTTATTAGGGAGCAGGGGGAAGGGTATCCACATTCCCTTTGAAGGGTTTAGTATAGGCGGGTACCTGATTCCCAAATTCCCTACCAAGAACTCGGTGCTTCCCCAAAAGGGGTTCCACCCTATTTCGTAAATCCCCCAACTAGTAGGCAACATTTGGGTAGTTTAGGGCTTCGGGTTTGGTTTTAGGGCTTGTGGTTGGTCTAAGCGTATTAGGGTTCGGGTTTTGGAAGTTGGGGGGATTTGGGGGCTTTAGCTCCGTTTCGCACTGCCAGCGTGGGCAAAGTTGGCGAGTAAAGTGACCCCTATTCCTACACGGCACAAAATGGCACAACAGGAGTCCCCTGTCAGGCGCGAGGCTTTCCGTTCAGGATGGAAGTTGCTAGGGTCAGGGTTTTAACTTAGGGCCAACCTACTTAAACCCTAAATGCCAAACCCTGAACCTTACAAACCCGAAATGCCCTAATCTCTGTAAGCCCTAAAGCCCTTTAAAACCCTAAAGCCCTAAAGCCCGATGAGCCCTATAAACCCTACACGCCCAAACCTCCATAAACCCTGTAGGCAGTAAGCCCCTATGCAGCCATGTAAACCCCAGAAACCCGATAAACCCCATAACTCCTAAAAACCCTATAAGCGCGAATCCCCTATAACCCCTATAAACCCTACATCCTAGGAACATTTCGGAGTTCTCATTTGCTCGCCACAACTTCGAGGGTTTAGGGTGTAGGGTCTAGGGTCTAAAGAAAAGCAGGTCCTTCACCCCAAACCCTACATACACCCCGTGCACTCGCAGCACAACTACACTGGCAGATAGTGTGACCCTAAACCCTAAACCCTAAATACCCTAAACCCTAAACCCTAAACCCTAAACCCTAAACCCTAAACCCTAAACCCTAAACCCTAAACCCTAAACCCCCATGTTTTCGGACTTTCTTTCAGGACGGGGAACTCCCGCATGGCATCCAAAAGCCAGATTAAATGTCAGGAGAAATGGCGAGTCATCAACTCTCAAACCTTGATATAGCCACCCTAAACCCTGAACCCTAAACCCTAAACCCCAAACCCTAAACCCTAAACCCCTAAACCCTAAACTCTAAGGCTCTGAATTTCGAACTTCTGAAAACCGAATCACTCGCCGAGAACTGTCGAGAAAAGTTGGCCTGGGCTCAGGCAGAGCTGGATGGGAAGGGGAGGGATTTAGGGTTTAGGGTTTAGGGTTAGGGGTTTAGGGTTTAGGGTTTAGGGTTTAGGGTTTAGGGTTTAGGGTTTAGGGTTTAGGGGTAGGGTTTGGGGGGTTTAGGGAGTTTAGGGATTTAGCGAGTTTAGTGAGTTTCGGGATTTAGTGGTTTAGGGTGGACGGCTTAGCGGTTGACATAAGTTGTGGGCCCTCTATTGAGGGAGCCCTACACACGTATACCCGGAAATATATGTCAGTACCTGTTCAAACATGGCCTTACTTTGAGGCAGACATAGAGTGAATCTCTTATGGGTGAGCAGTAGGCTTGTTCAAACCCTTTTTAAACCCTAACACGCTCTGCTGTCACAGTTCTCAGCATCATGGTGCCTTCTTGATTCCCAAATGCCATCAAGTATGCTTTTCGGCGCTTCATGGCTTGCTTCGGCTACAAGGTTTAGGGTTTAGGGTTTAGGGTTAAGGGTTAAGGGTTAACTCAAACCCCAAAGCTCCCAAGCCCTCATGCCCCATGAATCCCAAAGCGGCCCTGGGCCTCAAATTACCATTTGAGGTGCTTTGGGGGTTGTTTAGGGTTTAGGGTTTAGGGTTCGGGTTTAGGGTTTAGGGTTTAGGGTTTAGGGTTTAGGGTTTAGGGTTTAGGGTTTAGGGTTTAGGGTTTAGGGTTTAGGGTTTAGGGTTTAGGGTTTAGGGTTTAGGGTTTAGGGTTTAGGGTTTAGGGTTTAGGGTTTTAGGGTTTAGGGTTTAGGGTTTAGGGTTTAGGGTTTAGGGTTTAGGGTTTAGGGTTTAGGGTTTAGGGTTTAGGGTTTAGGGTTTAGGGTTTAGGGTTTAGGGTTTAGGGTTTAGGGTTTAGGGCCCCAAGCCGCCGCCAAGATGCCGAAGCTCAAGCCCCTTCCACAACGAGCCTCGCATCGAGGGGCAACTACCTCCCTTCCCCCAATTTTCTTGCTAGGGTTTAGGGTTGAGGGTTTAGGGTTTAGGGTTTATAGAGTTTAGGGTTTAGGGTGGCTCTTGGGAATGTGTGGGGAGCGAACGATGCCTCATTCCCGAAATCCCTATCACGAACGAGTGAGTGAGTCGGGGATTCGGGGCTTTTAGGCGGCTTTAAGCTTCGGAGTTTGTAGTTTTTTTTCCGTCGGGTTAGGAATATCCTAACCTCTAAACTAAACCCTAAACCCGAACCCAGTGCCTAGTACCTAGTACCTAGGCTGGGAGCGAGGGAACTGCAGCAGGACGCTGGGGTCCAGGTTTAGGGTCTAGGGCTTAGGGCTTGGGGTGGTTCTTGGTATGCGGCAGTTCGTGTTGGGGGGTTTATAGGGTTTGTGGTTCAGGGCTGAAGGTTGAGGATTTCCGGCTTCGGGCTTGAGGTGGAGGGTTTCGTGCTTAGTTTCTAGCGTTGAGGGCTTCGGGTATAGGGTGTGGGGTGTAGACAGTCGGGTGAGAGTTCAGGGTTGGGAGGCTCTGGGTTTCGGCTTCAGAGAGCCACGAAAGGTCCCGTAAAGGAGCCATGCGCACAGTACAACTTCTACAAGAAGCCTGACAGAACATGCCTAAACCCTAAACCCTAAACTCTAAACCCTAAACCCTAAACCCTAAATCCGAAACCCTAAACCCTAAACCCTCACCCTGAAACCCTGAAACCCTGAAACCCTGAAACCCTGAAACCCTGAAACCCTGAAACCCTGAAACCCTGAAACCCTGAAACCCTGAACTTAATGGTCTTTAGCAGGGAATTGGAGGACTCAGGGTTATATCCATCCTCAGGGGGCTCTGGAGGGGATAGAAGAAGCCCTCCCACCCCCCCTCCCAATCCTCACCCCCCCTTCCCCCCCTAAACAAGAAGTGAACATTGCAAACCGCAAAAGTCTAAACCATAGACCACCCTAAACCCCAACAGCCCAGGCCCTAAACCCCAAACCCTAAAGGCCTAAGCCCTAAGCCCTAAGCCCTAAACCCTAAACCCTAAACCCTAAACCCTAAACCCTAAACCCTAAACCCTAAACCCTAAACCCTAAACCCTGAACCCAGCACTAGCCCTATAAGCCCTTAGATCCAAGGAGCAGCTTCCAGGCTTACGCCTTGGCGTCCTCGGCGGCCATGTGCCTGCTTGTTTGCTGTTTCGGGGTAAGGGTTTAGGGTTTAGGGTTTAGGGTTCAGGGTTCAGGGTTTAGGGTTTAGGGTTTAGGGTTTAGGGTTTAGGGTTTGGGGTTTGGGGTTTGGGGTTTGGGGTTTGGGGTTTATAAGGTTCAGGGTATATGGGATTTATAGGGTTTGTTTGCTGTTCCGGGGTAAGGGTGTAGAGGGCTTTAAGGTTTATCGGATTTCGTTTGGGGCTTTGGGTTTATAGGGTTGAGGTTATATAGGGCTTACAGGGTTTGTTTGCTGTTCCGGGCTACGGTGTAGAGGGTTTGAGGTTTACAGGGCTTAGGGCTTGGTGTTCAGGGTTTATCAGAAGGTTTAGGGGGTTCAGGGCTAATAGGGCTTAGGGTTTAGAGTTTATCAGGTTGAGGCTTATAGGGTTTTTACGGTTTTTTAGGGTTTATAGGGTTTATAAGGTTTATAGGGGTTATAGGGTTTATAGGGTTTATAGGGTTTAGAGGGCTTGGGGCTTATAGGGTTTAGGGCTTATGGGGCTTGAGGGTTGAGGGTTTATAGGGTTCAAGGCTGTAATAAGTGTTTTTTCTTAGGTTTTGAGGCTTTGGGGGCTGTGCCGTACAGCTATCTGCCCAAGGATGCGCGGTTCAAACCAGCAGTCAATCCCATGTCGGTGGAAGTTCGGTGACAATCCGTTTGGCCGAAACTGGAGAGAAGACGAATAAACCCTTTAATATTCCCAAGAAATGGCCATGGCAAGTTTCAAGGTCAACTATTTAGGGTTTAGGATGGTTTAGGGTGTAGGGCTTAGGGTATGGGGTTTCGGGTTGAGGGTTTAGGGTTTAGGGGTTAACGAGAGCCCCCTCGCATCCAAGGCGCTTGATAAGGTCCACCACGCGGCAGGAGTAGCCCCACTCGTTGTCCTTGGGATATAGGACTCACCAGGATTCTACAGTCAGGGGCTGGGTGCGTTGGGGCTTGGGGCTTGGGGCTTGGGGCTTGGGGCTTAGGGCTTAGGGCTTAGGTTTAGTGCTTAGGGTTTAGGGTTTAGGGTTTAGGTTTAGGGCCCCCTGTCAACCCTTGCCCTGTACTCACGCGATGCACAGCAGTGGTTGAAGGTCCCCTGGATGAGCCCAAGCCCTAAACAGCATGGCGGCTTGCTCAGCAGAACTTTCTGGTTCTTGGTAGGGAGTGGGGGAGGTCCCCTATATGATCCCTTAAACGGTACAAAAAAGGGGGATATACGGTGCCTCATTTTCCTCTTTCCCTACGAAGAGCCAGCCAGAGAAAGGCCATCACTTCCTGAGATACTCAGACCACTCAGACGGCGCTCCAGGGCCCCCACCAGGCTCAAAACCCCAAAATCCCTGAACCCTAAACCCTAAACCCTAAACCTTAAACCCAAAATTACTGAACCCTAAACCCTAAACCCTAAACCTTAAGCCCAAAATTTCTCAACCCTAACCCTAAACCCTAAACCTTAAACCCCAAAACCCCTGAACCCTAAACCCTAAACCTTAAACCCCAAACTCCCTGAACCCTAAACCCTAAACCTTAAACCCAAAATTTCTGAACCCTAAACCCTAAACCCCAAAATCCTTGCACCCCAAACCCTACACCCTGGAACTATCTACAGAAACTCGTCCCTTGCGAAGTGCAAAAAGGGTGTTACGCTTCCCTAATGTGCTTGACTTGGCTGCACTCAGGAGGGTAGCTATAAATTAAACTTTTAGCTGCCTTACTAAGAAACCCAATAAACCCAAAAAAGGTAAGGATCTAAAGTTACGGTAAAGTACCACAAAGTCAAGAACACCCCAAAACATCAAAACACACTCATCCCTATCTTCCCCTTATAGGAAGTCTATTTGGAGGGGGAGGGGGGTTCTTAAGCCCAAAAAAATAAGCCTATATTCCCCTTATAAGGAAGAAGTTTTAATAACCCTAAACCCTAAACCCTAAACCCTGAACCCTGAACCCTAAACCCTAAATCCTAAACTTATTGCGCCTAAACCCTTAACCCTACACCCTAAACCCTAAACTTATTTTTTGGGGGGCTTTCTTGAGCAATGGGTAGCTATAGTGGGTAACAACAACAAGAACTTCTGCCGAGCTGATCCCAAGCCCTGGCCGCCTAGGGTTTTAGGGTTTAGGGTTTAGGGTTTAGGGTTTAGGGTTTAGGGTGTGGGGTTTGGGGTTAGGGTTTAGGGTTTGGGGTTTGGGGTTTAGGGTTTGGAGTTTGGGGTTTAGGCGCCGGCGCGGCTGCGGTTGCAACGACCTGCTGCGGCTGCGATGGCCACGGCGTCAGCGTGGCATGGCTGCAGTAGCCAACGCAGAGAAGGTCTGCACAAAGGCTGTAAACCCCAAACTCTAAACCCTAAACCCTAAACCCTAAACCCTAAACCCTAAACCCTAAACCCTGCACTCACGGTGTCACGGGGGGTGATCGAGAATCGTGCAAAGCGCAGCAACGCCGTGGCGCAGCGCGTGATCAGGAGTCACCAGAGAGCGCTCTCAAGTAATCCACCCTAAACCCTAAACCCTAACCCCAAACCCTAAACCCTAAACCCTAAACCCTAAACCCTAAACCCTAAACCCTAAACCCTAAACCCTCGCACGGGACGCGTGGCTTTTGAGCGTGCACGTGCAAAGCCGCTCCAGGAGGAGTTTTTGGGGTGTCGGGTTTTAGGGTTTAGGGTTAGGGGGCTTAATTGGGGTCTTGCTGTTCAGGGTTTTGCGGTTTTGGGGCCTTGCGGGCATAGGCACTTTGGGTTCCAGGGTTTCGGGTCACAGGGCTTCAGGGTCTAAGTTTTACATGGCTTCCGGTTTTCTAGGATGGGTCCAGAGTTTAGGGTTTAGGGTTTAGGGCTTACTCTTCAAAATACATTCCTGAATATGATCCTCGTAAACCCAGTAAGGGGAGATCAATTATCCGAACGGACTACAAAGTTAAAGGCTTACGGTTCAGTTTAGGGTTTACAGGGCTTGTGGTGTATCATTAGGGGTGTATTGGGTTCAGGGGTCAGGGATTAACGGGCGGACAGCCCTCCAAAAGCCAGGCCAGGGGACATACCAGCACACGACCTTCACGAAGGTAGGGTCCAGCATGATTCCAGCCTCCGGGCCATCTTTAGGGTATAGGGTTTCTGGCCAAACTCCCTAGGGTGTTTAGGGCTACACTCCCCCAGGCCCCCGGAAAACGTTACATCTCAACCCAAAATCCCCAAAACCCGTAAACCCTTGAACCGCCTAAACCCTAAACCCTCACACTTAGTCGGCCAACCTCTCAAGCCGAGAAGCGCTGAACTACCCTAAACCCAAACCCTAGACCTAAACCCGAAGCCGAGAAGCCCGCGAACTTACATTCGCAAGGCTCACATGCGCAAGACTCAAGTTCCGCAGGTCCCCATGTCCACCGACCCTTAGATCTCCCCACAACCGCTAAGCCAAACCCCTCAAGTCCGAAGCAAGCCCCTAGCACCTTCGTAACATCTCCAAATCCCTAAAACTCACCCTAAACCCTAAAGCCTAATCCCTCAACCCTACACCCTACACCCTAAACCCTAAACCCTAAACCCTAAACCCTAAACCCTAAACCCTAAACCCTAGCCCTAAACCCTAAACACCAAAAAGCTTGCGCCTTCGAGTCGAAAGTGCAGGAGATAGGGCAGGTCTCGAAGTCCGTGGAGACCAGGGCCTGCGCTGGGGAGGCGTTGTCTTTTTGCCTTTTGGTAGGGTGCAGGGTTTAGGGTTTAGGGTTTCGGGTTTAGGGTTTGGGGTTTGGGGTTTATGGTTTAGGGTTTAGGGTTTAGGGTTTAGGGAACCCTGAACCCTAAACCCTAAGACCTAAAACCTTTAGGGTTGCAGGGCCAGGCTTCAGGCGGGTTATTGGGGCTCGGTGTGGTTGTGAGGTTTCAAGGCTTTGTCGTTTTTCTGGGGGCATAAGCCCTCGACCTTAAGTTATAGACATCAGGGCTAAGGCTTGCAGTGTCGGACCTCGTCCGTGTAGCCCAGGTAGCCCTTCATGTCTCCCTCCGACCTCTTCCTGGTTGCGTTTGGGGTTTAGGGTTTTACAGGTTTTACAGGCTTTACAGGGTTTGCAGGGTTTACAGGGTTTACAGGATTTTGCAGGGTTCAGGGTTGGGGCCTTCGGGGTTTCTATAGGGGCTACTACTAGGGATATAGGATTTGGGATGTTGCGGGGCTACACGGAGATTTTGAGAGAACTTGGGAGCTGGCCCTGTGCCCGAAACGGTGTGGGGTTCTAGGGTTCAAGGTTTGGGCTTTCTTTGAACCCTAAGCCCTAAACCCTAAACCCTAAACCCTAACGCTGTTTTCTAACCTAGACCCACGAGTAACCCAGGAAAGCAGCCCTAAACCCTAAACCCCAAACCCTAAACCCTATACTCTAAGGGTTTAGGGTTTAGGGTTTGGGGTTTAGGGTCTAGGTTTTAGGGTTTAAGGTTTAGGGTTCGGGATTAGGGTTATACAGCCCAGGATCTTCATCTCAGCGCAGATTTCCTCGTAGGTGGTCTCCTGACAGCGGGGGATTGGGGTGCAGGGCTCCTGATGCCTCGTACGCTAAGTGCTCAAAGGGGGGGGGAGCTCGCCTTAACCCTGAGCCCTGGAGTAGTGCATTTGCGGGTTTAGGGTTTTGGGACTACGGGTTTATAGGAAACCCTAAACCCCAAAACCCTCATCCCTGAACCACACACCCTAACCCCCAGGGTTTGAGGGGTTTCTGGGGTTTGAGGTGACCCTTAACCCTAAACCCTAAACCCTAAACCCTAAGCCCTAAGCCCTAAACCCTAAACCCTAAACCCTAAACCACCGGGGGGTCCTTCTCCAGCTCCACCGTGAGGTCCACAACGGACACGTCGATGGTGGGCACGCGCAGTGCCATGCCAGTCAGCTTGCCCTGCACTGAAGGAGCAAGTAGGGTTTAGGGTTTAGGGTTTAGGGTTTAGGGTTTAGGGTTTAGGGTTTAGGGTTTAGGGTTTAGGGTTTAGGGTTTAGGGTTTAGGGTTTAGGGTTTAGGGTTTAGGGTTTAGGCGCTACAGGGTTTAGGGTTTTGCTGACGGTTTTGGGATTACAGTACAGGCTTAGAGTGTTTGAATCTAAGGATTTGGCCGGGAGGGTTCAGGGCTACTGAGGCTTTACTCTAAGACCGACATAGAAGGTAGGCTTGGCTCCCCCTGACCCTAAACCCTAAACCCTACACCCTAAACCCCTACACCCTAAACCCTAAACCCTAAAACCTAAACCCTAAACCCTAAACCCCTAGACCTAAACCCTAAACCTTAAACCCTAAACCCTAAACCCTACACCCCTAAACTTTAAACCCTAAACCCTAAACCCTAAACCCCAAAACGTCGAATCCTAAGCCAGACGCCGGTGCAGACGGCGCGCGTTATCTCATGTCTAACTTAGAACCCCCCCTCCCCCCCCCAACTCTGAACCCTAAACCCTAAACCCTGAAACCCTAAACCCTAAACCCTGAAACCCTAAACCCTAAACCCTAAAGCCTAAACCCTAAACCCTAAAACCCCAAACCCCAAACCCTAAACCCTAAACCCCGAAACCCCAAACCCTAAACCCCTAAACCCCAAACCCTAAACCCTAAACCCTAAACCCTAAAACCCCAAACCCCAAACCCTAAACCCTAAACCCCAACCCAGCACTCCAGGCCTTGACATCGGGGATGACCTTGGCAACCGCCTTGGCTGCGCCCGTGGAGGACGGGATGATGTTGCCTGCGCTTTCGGCTTGGAGGGCTTAGGGTTTAGGGTTTAGGGTTTAGGGTTGAGGGTTGAGGGTTTAGGGTTTAGGGTTTAGGGTTTAGGGTTTAGGGTTTAGGGCATTCAGGGCTCAGGGCTCAGGGCTTAGGATTTAGGGTTTAGGGTTTAGGGTTTTAAGGGTATTTAGGGTATAGGTTTAGGGGCTTAGGATCGAAAGGGTCTTCATCACGATGGCGTTGAGTCAGCTTGATCGTGAGAGGACGACAAGGATGAAGAGCAGAAGTGACTGAGGATGGAGATCCTTAGCCCTAAGCCAATAGCCCTAAAACCCTAAAACCCTAAACCCTAAACCCTGAACTCTAAACCCTAAACCCTAAACCCTAAACCCTAAACCCTAAACCCTAAACCCTAAACCCTAAACCCTAAACCGCAAGCCCGCTGCTGCTGATGGAAGGCGGGAGGGCGAGCCTTCACCCCCAAGGGCGTTGTCCTAAATACCCTAAACCCTAAACCCTAAATACCCTAAACCCTAAACCCTAAATACCCTAAACCCTAAACCCTAAACCCTAAACCCTAAATACCCTAAACCCTAAACCCTAAACCCTAAATACCCCAAACCCTAAGCCTAAATCCTGCACACCGTTTCCTACGCCAACCCGATGCCTATAACCCCTAAAACCTCAACCCCAAACCCTTGAAACCCTGACCCCCGCCAGATCCTAAGTTTTCGGATTTTGAGGGTTTAGGGTTTTGAGGGTTTAGGGTGAAGCTTTAGGATTTAGGGTTTTGAGGGTTTAGGGCTAAGGTTTAGGGTTTAGGGTCTTGACGGTTCAGGGTTAAGGTTTAGGGTTCAGGGTTCAGTCACGTCGGTTTAGGGTTTAGGGTCCAAACGGGTCGCGGCATCCCTCCCAACAGGGTGCCCAACGCAGCCCGCCGCCAGGAGGTGCAGCGTTTAGGATTTCCTAAGGTTTAGGGTTTAGGGTTTAGGGTTGAGGGTTTAGGGCTATAAGGCTTACAAGGGTTGCAAGGCTGATAAGGGTTTGAAAGGTAAGGGTTTATAAGGGTTTCAGAAAAACCCTTATAAACCCTTACGCGCCCGATAAAGAACCCTCGAAACCTCTAGGCCCCTGGAATGCAGGGGCCAGGGGCTTAAAGAGGTTTAGTGGGCTCAGGGGAGCCATAAGCCCTAAACCCAAAACCCGGGACCCCAAACACCCTGAACAAGAAAACCCGAAGACCTGAACCCGAAACCCTAAACCCTTGCCCTAAACCCTAAACCCCAAAAACCCGAAAACCTAAAATAGGAGCAGCCTGGTCCTGCGCGGCCGCCGCGCCAGTCCTGATTGCGTGCTAGGCCGAGACATCTTCACGACTTTTTTGGGGGTTTAGGGTTTAGGGCTGGGGTTTAGGGTTTGGGGTTTGGGGTTTGGGGTTTGGGGTTTAGGGTTTAGGGTTTAGGGTTTAGGGTTTGGGGTTTGGGGTTTGGGGTTTGGGGTTTGGGGTTTGGGGTTTGGGGTTTGGGGTTTGGGGTTTGGGGTTTGGGGTTTGGGTTTTGGGGTTTGGGGTTGGGGGTTTGGGGTTTGGGGTTTGGGGTTTGGGGTTTGGGGTTTGGGGTTTGGGGTTTGGGGTTTGGGGTTTGGGGTTTGGGGTTTGGGGTTTGGGGTTTGGGGTTTGGGGTTTGGGGTTTGGGGTTTGGGGTGTTCGCCCTAGACGCCAAGCCCAAAATCCAAGGATTCGATCCCCGAGCCCTGCTCCAAACCCCAACCTTTGACCCCTGGCAAGGGTCGAGAAACATGCCCACTCTGGTTTAGGGTTTAGGGTTTTGGGGTTTAGGGCTTTGGGAACACAAAAAACCCTAAGCCCTGCAGCCCTAAACTCCCTAAAGTCCCTAGGCCGTAAGCTCCACAATCACAAACCCTAAACCCTGGATTCCCTAAACTCCCGAAGCCCTAAACTAAGCCCTAAACTCCCCAAGCTCAAAACTCCGTAACTCCCGAAACCCTAAGCTCTAAAATCCGTAAGCCCTAAAAGTCACGAAACTCCCTCAACTCTCCAAAACCTTAAACTCCCTGAACTCCCTACATTCCCTACACCTCCTAAACCCAAAAACCGCCAAGCCCCCAAACCCCCAACCCTCTCAACCCCAAACCCTAAACTCCCTACACCTCCTACACCCCAGAGTCCTTCAACCCTTAACCCCAAACCCTAAACCCCAAAACCCAAACCCAAAACCCTGAACCCTTCAACTCTAAACCCTAAACCCTAAACTTGTGACCAGGACTCCCCCATATAGGCTGGAAATCACCAAATACTGGGTTGTGCTTTCGGGCCTCTGAAAATTATTTATGAATACAGTGGGTTTTTGCAAGGTGACCAGCTTAATCCAATAATCAAGTAAATTCTGCTGTGGCCCTCACATCTATTTTTTCGACCGTTGCCATGCTCAATTCGGCGATTCCACTGTGACTGTGACAGCGGCCAGGTGTCGACACTGCCAGCTTCTGGCGCGTCAAACAGGACCAGTGGCATCTTGCCCTTAAAATGTGACACTGACCGGTTGTCTTCCTGTTCATTCGCAGGAAGTCCAAAAGCGTTAGGCACGAGGTGACACTGCTGAAACCTTCCATCCGGCTCTGTGACACTGACCAGGCTCCGTACGATAGCAGCAGCCCAGCCTGTCGCAATTGTGTTTTGACTGATGGGTGCAGTGGGCTGGAGACACCGACGTGACCCATACTTATGACTCTGTGTGAATGGTCCTGTCGATATGAATGGCTTGGTTGTACATTTAATTTATTATTCTTAGAGTCATGTTATTTATCTTTCATGGCAAAGGCAATGAAGCACTTGCACCTCCGTTTTTCCAGCGCCAGCATCGTCTAGTCTTGAGTCCTTTGTCAACCCGCCACTCCGCGGCAAAAAAAACCCGCGATGGTTTTGCCATCTTTAGTGACAATGGTGGAGTGGATGCTTTGGAGCAAAAGCGGGTCATCATCATTATCAACCTGTACAGTCAGGCGACACTGGAGCGTCACGCACGATTCAAACACTGGCACCTTGTGGTTCTGCGTCTCGTCGTGACACGTTTCGGGGGTTCTGAGATTGTGGTGCTTCAAATGCACGAAAGAACATGCGCCGACACCTGTTGGTCTGAGTACCTGATGTCTTCCGTGTCCATTGGCACGAAGATAGGAGCATGTTGACACTCACTGGTTCGCCATGACGGTGATGTGAATGTCACACTGGGGATGTGGTTCGCTGGACACTGGCTCTGACTGGAGGTGCGTGGGAAGCCAAAATTGCTTCGGCCAAAAGCTCATGACATCAATGAACCACGACAGACGGTTTATTCATTGCGTTGCAACCCGCGACCGCAAGTTTAAAGACATCCCAGCGGCAAGCTTGGGCTGCCCAGCCTTGCGACAATGAGCACGACTAGGAAGACATCGCCCACCAGCAGCAGCCTGATGCGTGGAGGGGTCAGGTTGGGGCACATGTAGCTGGGCCAAAATAGGAAGCTGAGTTTAAGAAAAGATCATCGGTTCCCTCGACACTACCCCCCGAGGTTCCCCTCTTGTTAGGCAAGGGTAGTTGGCGGGGAATCCATGTAAAATGCTTATTATACTGTGGGTCCATGGTCCAATTGACACTTAGACACCTTCAGGCCATTGCACTCGGACAAGTATTGTTCAGCGGTCGGCTCACGTCGCTAGGCTAATTCAGCACAGTATGTTAATTTTTAATTAACAAACGCAACTGCAAATATTATACTGAACAGGTGTTTTGCACACCTTCACACTGGCTGTCTGGCGTTAATTTGGCCAGGCACATTTAAAAAAACACTGTCGACAATCGCACGAGGGCTCAAGCCAGCTTCCACGACTGCCGGACTGCAAGCTAGCCGTAGTGCTTGCAAAGCTTGGAAATGTTGCTCTCATACACTGCGAAACCGGACTTCTTCCGCGGGGTCTTCACGACTTTGGCCTTCTTAGTCCGGACCTTCATGACCTTGTCTTTGCGCATGTTCACCTTTGCATTCCTTGCTTGCTTGTGTTGACCCTGCTGCCTCCTTGTCGTGCTGAGCTGATCTTGCTCGCTTGACACTGGTGTCGTCCCCCACTGGACTTCCAGGAATGCTGACTCTGACTTCGCCTGAAACTGAGGAGGGCGACGTAAACCTCGCAGAAGGCTGAGCCCCAGGACGATGACTGTCCCGACCGATTCCACATGCATGCAGTTTCCCGCGAGGGAGTTGAGCTGGTGCGGTTTCAACTGCAACTTCTCTTTGGACAACTTGATGGCACTGAGGGGAAACCCGTGCAACAGCAATCTTTCCTCGGGGCAGATTTCTCGCCTCCGGGCCATGACAATGTACCTGCCACGGGGCGTCATTGTTGGGCACAACCCATCAAATGACACTGGCATTCGGTCGCAGCTCTGGCTAGCGTCGACACACATATCAGCCCGACCGCCATGAAGTATCCACGCAATCTCCAACGAGTCCTGGGCCCTGTCAGGCAGTCTGAAGTCGCCCGCCAGAGGTGGCATTTCTGGAACTTGACACTCGGACTGTAGCTCCTTCCGCATCGCCGCATGCTTCTGACGCCATTTTGGCATTGTCTTTTTTGCCTTCTTTGTGGGCTGACACTTCTTCACCACAGAACATCTCGACAATGAGGAGCCCTGCTTGATGTGAGCCTGGACCCACGGGTGATCGTCGTCAAGCAAACGATCCATCAAGGGTGCCTCCAGGCCTTGCCTCAGTCCGTTGACAATGCTCATAGCCAAATCACGAAGACGGAGAGGGTCGTCAACGACTGCGCAGCCCCTGTGGATGGCCAGGAAGTACAGGCGTGGCCGCGCCAGTGCATGCCCAAGCATTCTGGGGCAAATCTCCAGCCACAGGATGTGGTACTTCCTCAGGACAGCTGACATTGAAGATTTCAGATCGGCCATGAATCGCTTGATTCCGATGACATTCTCGAAAATAGCCAATGCTGGCTCCTTTGCTTCCACGGTCTCAAGCATTGCCTGACAAAGCAGGCAACACAGACTGACACTTAACATGGCCGGCATGACACGGTAAACAAAAGTTGCAACTCAGGAAACAATCGCCGACGGTCAGGGCCTCGTATGGTCTGGCGTTGGCATCTTCCCAGTACTGTGAGTAATGGTTCAATCTGCTCCATGGCTTGCATGGAAAGCCGCAACAATAAAGATCGACACTGGGAAGCAAACCATGGTTCCGATCCACCATGTCGCCCAAGACTCTGTCCTCCTCCAAGCCGCTGACTGTCGTGATCCAACGCCGGGCGTGTGGCGCTGTCTCTGCGGCCCACTTCTGTGAAAATGGCAGGCCCAGCGCTTTCAAGGCAAAGATGGGCCCTTCGGCCCCACTGCAGTCGGTGCCGACACTGAGGGTCTTCAGCGTGGTTATCCGTGGCAACGGTACCATGCCTTGTTTCGACAACCACCGGGCCCTGCTGGATTGCGACACTGCAAGCAGTCTCTTTGCCCAGTTCTCCTGGAAATTGTCCACCACCATGTTTCGCCAGCAGCTACGACAACAAGGAGGTTGCCCTATCAACTTGACAATTTCGCACCGGAAGAAGCAGCAGTGACAATGATGGCTTAATCACTGTCAGTGTTAAGCAGTACTTGCGGTCATGTGCCTGACATCTGTCACTCTAAGAACAAGCTTTGCATGCAACACTGGTCAAGCTCAACGGGCTCTTGGACTAGCAGCGTGGCTGCAAGCCGAAAAACAGCACACTGTCTGCAACACGTGCACTCATGGCTGTGCGTAGTGGTTGAAGCGCGACACACGAGGTGACCCTGCCTGCACCATGGATGACAGGTTGTATTGCCATTGCGGCCTGGACAAGCAGAACGATCAGGAAACAGTGGCATGGTGGTCTGAAAGCCTGCTTTAAAAAATGGAAATACATCGTCTTTGATTTTGCTGTACTGACACTGTCCACGAAAGCCTTGACACTGAGCGTCAGGCTCTTCAGCACAATCCGCATCCTCGGCACTGACTCTTGGAGAAGGTTAGTGCGCAAAAGGTCAAAGTTCCAGCTCAGTGCATAGCTTAAGATTCAGGTACGGGATAATGACGATGACATTGCTACTAAGTCGGTGCTGCATGGAATTTTCACAGAAGCAATGCGTCACAGGGCTAGTCCTGGCTCTGGCAAGCTGGAGCAATGACAATGATTGAAAAAAACGAGGAATCAGATCAGTGTTAATGTAGACAAATCGCAATATCACCACTACTTTCAACTTAGACAACAAGCTCGCAGCCGCTGCCAAAGCTGCTGACATTGAAAGTGACATTGAGGGTTCCTATGCCGCCATCTCCTGGCACTGGTAGATGTGCTGCCCTGCTGGCAAAATCAGTGGCAACAGCACGTGTCTTACGAAGCCGCAACCCAGCTGTCACGCGACCACCATGATGTAAAGTGTAAACTCTGCTCTAAAAATCACCACACCGCATGAGTTTCAAGCCATCAAACTCACGACAGCCAGGCGCCGTTGCGACTCACGACAACGAATGTCTACTCACTCTCAGCAACGGAAGAAGCACCGCTTTCTGACACTCCCAAATCTTCCAGCTGGGCCTGAAGGCCCTGGATCCTGCGGCGTTTCCTGCAGACAGATGTGATAAATTATATCCATGCCACAGCGGACTTTCCCAGGAGAAACTTCACACTGCACTAACCAGCACGCAGTCCTGCGATCGGAGACATCTTGTCGGATCTTGCGCAGGTCTACGTAGTCGGGGCCGTCGAGCTTGACACTGGCGACCATGCCACCGACTTCCGTTGCCTGCTGGAACATCTCCTTCATTTGCGACGAGGTGTCCTGACACTGATCCCCTTTCAACCACATGACACTGTACCCAGTGAAGCAAGAAGACTCGGGCACAGTGCACAGGCTCTTCACGAGCAAGGGAACGTTCATCTTCATGCTCACCAGGTTGACACTGCAATGGTCAAGGCCCTGTGTCAGCATCCTGACACTGACCGTGGCTGCAGCTGGCGTGTCAAACAGGACCAGTGGCATCTTGCCCTCCAAAATGTGACACTGATCTGCTGTCTTCGTGTTCATTCGCAGGAACTCCAAAAGCGGCAGGTACGAACTGACACTGGCGAAATCTTCCACGCTGCGAACGGGTGACACTGTAACAGCATAGTACTGAAAAGTAGCCACGGAAGTCTCATCCGCTTTCAACTTCCACTGCTCAGAGATGACAACATCCAGCAAGGTCTTGCGCTTCGCCTCGACACTGTTGAACATGCCTGGCCCAGATTGCGCAATGGTTGCCCAATGCTATCCGTCCCTCTTTCTCCGTCTTTCTGCTTCTCTTTCCCTCTTCACTCTTCTGCATCCCTCTCTATCTCTCTCGCTCGCTCTATCTTTTTGGTTTTCCCTCCCTCTCTCTCTCTCTTATTACTGCCTCTCTCTCTCTCTCCCTTATTACGTTTTCCCTTCCTCCCTCCCCGATCGTCTCTCTCAGAAGCAGGGACACTGGAGTGTGCCGCACTACCTTAGCCTTGGGTTGGCAATGCTTCTGACTGGAAAGCCTAGGTGCTGTGCTCGATGTCCGTGACCAATCGAAAGAAGATCCCACCGCCCACTGGAGAAACCCTTCCACTGCTGAACTCCCTCTGGGCCATCGGGCTGAGGTCCACCTTGACAATGACCTTCTTGCCCAAAATCTTGGAAATCTTGTGAGTGGACGCTTTGTCCAAGTCGAGACGGCGCTCGCCATCCATGGAAATCGACATTCCGGCCTTCTTCGCAGTGGCACTGATGAGATCCTTGCAGCCGGATTGGGAGGCACGTCTGGACTTGTACAGTTAAACATGACACTGTCATGCTCTGACGCTCCCTCCCTCATTGTTGCACTCAAGACAACCGACTTGGAAGGGATCAGTCTCGCACTGCCTGCTTCCGAGACGCGAAAACCGCATCCATCTCAGAGCTATGCAGCTTCGTGCCCTTGGCGAAGACAAAGGACTCTGGAAGGAAGCTCTGCTCCGTGTCGACCAAAGCGGCATAGAAGGTCATGGCCGCTGACACTTTCTGTGCCTTTTTCACCAGATTCTTTGCTGCAGCTTGGAAACCCTAAGCCTAAACAGCAACAAGGACTTTCATCATGTTGACACTGAAAGCTTTCGATTCAAATTCATGGGCATGAGCGGCCTCACGTCGTGGCACTGCAGAACGCTCTTCGCTTTTTTATGTGCGCCAGGCCATGTCAAGATTGGCGCTCCCTGCTTGGCTTTCCATCTGGGCTGGACTGCCAAGTGTTGCCTGCTGACAGTATCATTAAATTATTATTGAATTCATTTGTTCCTGCACCAACAGTACCGGTGGCTGACATGTCACGACGGTTACTTTAATTTACTCTCACTGACAGCAAACCTGATGACGACGACCGTTGTGGGGTGTGGAAAGCAACTGTGAGTTTGAACGCCAATGTTATTCAAAACTGCTTGGTGGGCGCGGGCTCAATTGTTATATTGATTATTTAATGGCCTGATACTTCGCTCAACACGACCTGCTCATGATCACCGGTGTCTTTGGTTGCGGTTTCTGACTGTTCCTTGAGTCGCCTTTCTCGGCACCAACGACTTCAAACCTTTGATTCTACAGCGCTTGCTCCTCATCTGCGTTGTGGGTGCGGATTGTAACTGTGCAGGAAGACCCCAAACTTCTCTCCGAACTGCTTGCTACTCGTGACGGGTTCGTTTTGGGTGCGGATTGTAACTGTGCAGGAATTTAACCCCAACGACCCCAAACGACTCTCCGAACTGCTTGCTACTTGTGACGGGTGCGTTTTGGGTGCGGATTGTAACTGTGCAGGAATTTAACCCCCAACGACCCCAAACTTCTCTCCGAACCGCTTGCTACTCGTGACGGGTGCGTTGTGGGTGCGGATTGTAACTGTGCAGGAATTTAACCCCCAATGACCCCAAACTTCTCTCCGAACTGCTTGCTAGTTCTTACGGGTGCGTTGTGGGTGCGGATTGTAACTGTGCAGGAATTTAACCCCCAGCCACCCCAAACTTCTCTCTGAACTGCTTGCTACTTGTGACGGGTGCGGTGTGGGTGCGGATTGTAACGGTGCAGGAATTTAACCCCCAACGACTCTGAACTTCTCTCCGAAATGATCGCTACTCGTGACGGGTGCGTTGTGGGTGCGGATTGTAACTGTGCAGGAATTTAACCCCCAATGACCCCAAACTTCTCTCCGAACTGCTTGCTAGTTCTTACGGGTGCGTTGTGGGTGCGGATTGTAACTGTGCAGGAATTTAACCCCCAACAACCCCAAACTTCCTTCCGAACTGCTTGCTGCTCGTGACGGGTGCGTTTCGGGTGCGGATTGCAACTGTGCAGGAAAAACCCCCAACGACTCCGAACTTCTCTCCGAGCTGCTCGCTACTTGTGACGGGTGCGTTTTGGGTGCGGATTGTAACTGTGCAGGAATGTTTAGCTACACGTGACGGGTGCGTTTTGGGCGCGGATTGTAACTGTGCAGGAATTTAACCCCCAATGACCCCAAACTTCTCACCGAACTGCTTGCTAGTTCTGACGGGTGCGTTGTGGGTGCGGGTTGTAACTGTGCAGGAATTTAATCCCAACCACCCCAAACTTCTCTCTGAACTGCTTGCTACTTGTGACGGGTGCGGTGTGGGTGCGGATTGTAACTGTGCAGGAATTTAACCCCCGGTACTAATCTAATACTGAGTACTACTGCCAGTACTAGTCCAAATAGCAGTACTAGTAATAGTAGTAGTAGTAGTAGTAGTAGTAGTAGTAGTAGTAGTAGCAGTAGCAGTAGTAGTAGTAGTAGTAGTAGTAGTAGTAGTAGTAGTAGTAGTAGTAGTAGTAGTAGTAGTAGTAGTAGTAGTAGTAGTAGTAGTAGTAGTAGTAGTAGTATAGTAGTAGTAGTAGTAGTAGTAGTAGTAGTAGTAGTAGTAGTAGTAGTAGTAGTAGTAGTAGTAGTAGTAGTAGTAGTAGTAGTAGTAGTAGTAGTAGTAGTAGTAGTAGTAGTAGTAGTAGTAGTAGTAGTAGTAGTAGTAATAGTAGTAGTACTAACAGTAATTTTACTACTCGTGCTAATAGCAGTCGAAATAAGACGAGCAGTAGCAGTAGTAGTAGCAGAAGTAGGAGTAGAAGTAATAATAGTAGTAGTAGTAGCAGTAGGAGCTGAAGTAGCACTAGTCGTACTAGTAGTAGTAGTCGTAGTAGTAGTAGTAATAGTAGTAGCAGCAGTAGCAGTAGCAGTAGCAGTAGCAGTAGTAGTAGTAGTAGTAGTAGTAGTAGTAGTAGTAGTAGTAGTAGTAGTAGTAGTAGTAGTAGTAGTAATAGTAATAGTCGTAGTCGTAGTCACAGTACTAGTCGTACAAATCCTAGTACCACTACTACTACTACTACTACTACTACTACTACCAGTAGAGTAGTAGTAGTACTACTACTACTATTACTACTACTACTACTACTACTGCTACTACTACTATTACTACTACTACTACTACTACTACTACTACTACTACTATTACTACTACTCTACTACTACTCTACTACTACTCTACTACTACTCTACTAGTACTTCTACTACTACTACTACTACTACTACTACTACTACTACTACTACTACTACTACTACTACTACTACTACTACTACTACTACTACTACTACTACTACTGTTCCTACTGCTACTACTACTACTACTACTACTACTACTAGTAGTAGTAGTAGTAGTAGTAGTAGTAATAATAGTAGTAGTAGTAGTAGTAGTAGCGTAGTAGTAGTAGTAGTAGTAGTAGTAGTAGTAGTAGTAGTAGTAGTAGTAGTAGTAGTAGTAGTACTAGTAGTAGTAGTAGTAGTAGTAGTAGTAGTAGTAGTAGTAGTAGTAGTAGTAGTAGTAGTAGTACTAGTAGTACTCGTCGTCGTCGTCGTCCTACTAGTAATAGCAGTCCTAGCATAGTGATCGAAGTAGTAGTAGTAGTAGTAGTAGTAGTAGTAGTAGTAGTAGTAGTAGTAGTAGTAGCAGTAGTAGTAGTAGTAGTAGCAGTAGTAGTAGTAGTAGTAGTAGTAGTAGTAGTAGTACTAGTAGTAGTAGTAGAAGCAGTACTAGTAGTCGGTACTAGTTCGTACTAGCTAGAAATTAACAGTAGTTAGTTATTACTACTGAGTCGTTACTTGTCAGCTAGTAGTGAATAGTTAGCACTGAGTAGTTAGTAAATTAATACTTCGTCATTCCTTACTCGTTAGCAGCGCTGGTAGTACTAGACTCGTACTAATGAGTTTAGGGTTTTAGGGGTTTAGGGTTGAGGGTAACTAGCGACACTGTGTAAACTTTCTGACAATGTTAGGCATTGATACTGAATGTTATTCTGGGGCTCCCGGGGTCCACCGGACCCCATCTAAGCATTAGGGGTCCACCGGACCCCTTGTTTTTTATTAAAAACTTATGATATGATGCGCTGACACTGTGGCCCTGCGCGGTCGAATTTTGTCATCTGGAAGCCTGCCAGCGAAGACATGGCAGGCAAATCGGGTGGGTTAGGGTTGACACTGTGATTTTCACGGTCAGGTGCCTACTTTGACTGACAAGGTTACACTTCGGGCACTTGGGTTTACACTTAGGGGTAACTTAGCTCTGGGGCCAAACGACTCGTCTTTGCACGGAAGGCAGACGTAGACCGAGCCTATTGAAGGTAACACTGTGGCAAGTTTGTCTCCTGCCCAAGTTCGGGAAGATTTATCGGCCTGCCCTGCCCTCCCTCTCCCCTCCCCCAGAAAAACGAAAAAAAGCCGAAAGCACAACCCAGGTACTATTAGTAGTAAGAATAGCAGTAGTAGTACTACGAGCTGGACTCCTAGTATTGCTGGTACTGGTACTAGTACTTCATACTACTGCTTGTAGTAGTTCAAGTAGCAGTAGTACCAGTAGTTCTAGTAGTAGTACTAGTCGTAGAAGTAGTAGTAGAAGTAGTAGCAGTACTAGTAGTCGTCGTAGTCCTCGCAGTACTAATGGTAATTAGTAATAGTAGTAGTAGCAGTAGTAATAATAGTAGTAGTAGTAGTAGTAGTAGTAGTAGTAGTTGTTGTTGTTGTTGTTGTGGTCGTCTCCTTCTGTCACTCGTTCCCTCTCTTTCAATCTTTCACTCTTTCTCTCTCCCCATCTCACTCTCTCTCTCTCTCTCTCTCTCTCTCTCTCTCTCTCTCTCTCTTGCAAACCTGTCACTGTGTACAACTACTACTACTACTACTACTACGACGACGACTAGTACGACTAGTACGACTACGACTACTGCGACGACTAGTACGACTACTACGAATACGACTACTACTAGTACTACTACTACTAGTACGACGACGACGACGACGACTACTACTACTACTACTACTACTACTACTAGTACTACTAGTACTACTAGTACTACTAGTACTACTAGTACTACTAGTACTACTAGTACTACTAGTACTACTAGTACTACTAGTACTACTAGTACTACTAGTACTGCTACTACTACTACTACTCCTACTACTACTACTACTTCTAGTACTAGTACTAGTACTACTTACTACTACTCCTGGAGACTAGTAGACTACTACGACTGCTATTAATACGAATGTGATGAAAACGAACTCATCGTGCGACTGCTACACCACGACTACTGCTGCATGGTACTCGAAAACTACCGCACCACCACCGCCACCCTATGTCGACTTACTCGGGCTGCTAGGTAAAATGTTGATCAGTTGTTCACTACACATCCTGGTGAGTATGCGTTACTCCCACTTGGCATCTTCAGCCCAGACCTACAGCAAGATTCTAAGCAAAGCACGGCACGGGCGTGGCTCGACGCCATCATTCACAAATTGACACAGTTAGAGCGTCACTCGGGTCACTGTGGTTCCTCCCAGATCACGGAACGGATCAGCGACACTGACCTTGGGAGAGAATAAGGCAATCGACCGGGCAAAGCTTGGAACACAACTTGAACAGTCTCATATCTTCTAACGTAACCCTGTTCAATCAGTCTAGCGGCCTAGGAAGCTTCAGCGTCAGAGTCCTCCTCCTCGTCTTCCTGGAGCTCGGCGTCGTTGAGCTCTGCCAGCACCTCCTGGAAATGCTTCGTGATCATGGCGGAGAGGTCCTCGTCGTAGATGACACTGTCGCCTCAGTGGCATGATGCCGGACGCCGCACTTATATTATTTTATTATTCTCACTATTACAACGATGATTGTTAAATTTATTCTGGCCACTGGTGAAAATTACAATTATTCTATTGTTTCAATCCAGAACTTCTGGAGGGTATCAACTGACAGTAGTTTGACAATGTCAATTTGACAATATTCCAATTTTCTTTCAGGTTGCTGTCTGCCAGGAGTCGTAAGGACTCCCTGTCCATGACATTGACCAGCCAGCTGTGGTGCACCTGGTTCCTGGTGACACCGACGTACGCAATGTCGCTTGACAAGCAGACGCTTGCCAGGCAACCACTGCCAGCGGTCAAGTCGATGACACTGCCGATATTCAGGACCTCCAGCAGTGTCTCCCACACCTCCGCGGACTTGCTCTCAGCCCAAAACACTGGGCAAGCTGAGCCGCGGAACTTCGGCGGCTCGTCGCAGTCAAAGGCCTTTGCCTTCTCCATGGATGGCATCAACGGCCGGCCTGACACTGCGGGGAGGCCCACCATGGTCAAATCGTGTGTCGTCAGTTTCTTCGCATTCTTCTTGCTCCCTGAGGCTGACACTGTCGGGGGCATGTAGTCGTCGGTCCGTGTCTTCACAGCGAAGCGAACTTTGGGCACGTGAAGCTTCATCACTGCCACCTCCACCTTTGCTGCCGCACAAAAGATCTTTCGATGGCGAGCCTCTCTTGGCCGAGACGAGTAAAGAAGGACGAACTCGTTCAGCTTGGCACTGTCACCCAAACCTTGCCTCAAGACACTCTTGTTGTCAGGGGCGCAGCCGTCGAAGCACAGGACAATGTCGTGTTCCTTCATGGGGTACTTCTCCAGGCATTGAAACACTGCCGTGACACTGTCGGGCACCAAAGCAGGCGTTCTCTGCCAACTCCCCTTCGCCTCCAGCGCCAGGTCACTGCTGAAGACCCAGAGCCTGTGGCTCTCGTTGATCTTCCCCTCGAAGGCGCTGGCCTGACACTTGTCCAGGAGGGTTCTCAGGGATTCTGGAGATTTTCCGGTCCACAAAATCAACTGACACCGCTTCTTCCGCACGGCTTGGGCCGAAGCCCACGTCTCCTTCCGCTCCTCCTCTGACACTGTCGTCTCATGCTTCGGCTCTTCTGGGTTCGAGTGCTGTCTCGCCAGCTGCCGAATTGACACTGGTGGGTCGGCGGAGCCAATTGACACTGTGCCAGCACAAAGCCCAGCCACCATGCTGCGAAAGATCTTGGCCAGCTCATTCTTTGACTCTGTGTTCTCCAGCAAACACTTGGCCGGATCTGACTCTGACACTGTCTTCTTGAGCTGGTTCTCGTGCTCCGCCTCGAAGAGGTCGTGGAGGAGCTCGACCGCTTGCTTGCCTGCCTTGGGCAAGCTGGCGGTGATCGCGGCCAGGCTGTCTTCTGACACTGTGTCCGTGTGCTCGGGCAGGACCTCTGTCGTCACTGAGTCTTCCGCTTCTTCCAAGTCTGCCACGCCTTCACACTGGTCTTCCTGGCTCGGGGGGCAATTCTTGTGGAAAAGCAACGGCAGCCAGACCTTCTCGATTGCTTCCTTGGTGTCCTTCTTCGGTGTGGGCCCGGTGGCACGGCCGAGCATGGCGGCCTCTTTCTCAGCCGCAGTCGTGGCAATCTTCATGATGTAGCTCGCCAAGTAGGCCTTGACACAGGTGGCAATGGTCCACCCACCACCCTCTCCATTCTCAATGGCCGTCGAAGAGAAAAACTTGGGCTGCACAGTGCCGCGCCGCAACATGCCAAGGCTGTACTGCAACACAAACTCCAGGACAAACTCGACACTGAGGTCCGGGTTGTTCCAGAGTGCAGTTGCTTTCGACACGATCTGCATGACCCTGCCGATCTTGTTGTACCCGCTCGACCAAACGTCGCGGCCAAACTCCATCTGGACTGACACCAGGACTCGCTCAAGAGCAGGGTTCTGTGCCATGTACCCGGCCAGCGACTGTGCCGCAAGCATCATTCTGCGGTTGACATTGGACCCATTGTACTTCAGGCCCTTGTCCGTCAACAGCTGCAGCAGTTTGGGCTGGGTCATGTCCTGACACTTCTCCATAATGGCGTGCAGCTTCCTGGCCCACGTGTGGAAACCTTTGTTGGAAGAAGGACGACACAGTGCCTAGACATGATGCATCATGTTGCTGACGTGACTGACACTGATGTGTGCCATGTTGCAGGCCAGGAGCTGTCACCTGCCGAGCCGAGTCTGACCTTCTCGCTGTTCTGAAGCGACTTCAAGATGAAGTGCTCGGTCTGCTCGGCATCGTTTCCGGTGTGGTGGTACACACGGATTGACACTGTGAGTGCCATGTAGTGCAGGGCCCGAACCCTGTCCGACTTGGACTCGGCCAACGCTCTTGTCATGGCCGTGTACCAGGCATACAGATGGACAAGGCGCTTCATGACCCTCAGGTTCGAAGGCCACTTGGTTCCATCCGGGGAGGTCCTTGACACTGTGTATGCCAAGAACGGATCTGAAAAGTACATGTCCTCCTTCGCCCGCGTCTCTGGCATGAGAACGCGCTCGGCTTCCAACACCTCCTCCCAGGAGGGCTCCTCTGCAAGGACGACATCCCGGGACCACCCACCCATTGACACTATCGCGTCGAGCCAGTAAAGAGATCCGCCCGCTTCATACATGCCACGGGACTTGACACTGTCGCGATAGTTGTCAAGGTGCCATGCTTCTCGGAATCCTCCGTCAGAAGTCTCGCGGTGGATAGACAGCGGGGAAAGATCTCTGAGCCGCTCCTCCTCCTTCAGCTTCAAAGCAATCGGCAGGTGACAATGCACCTTGGCTAAAGCACGGCAGATCGGTTCGCACAAAGGAGGTTTCCTTGCAGAGTCTGAACATGACACTTTGGATGCCCTTAATGAAAGCAGAGTAGCATACCTGACAATGTTCTTCATGATGTCAAGGCTTCCCAGACCCTTCGCCTTCTCCGCACTCGGCAGCTCGGGCACATCGACCAACCCCTTCGGTTCCAGGACGATTTCGGGCAGCTTTCCCACTGGCACAACCGTATCCGAAGAACATGCCTCGGTTGACACAGTCCACAAAGAAACCCAACTTGACACTGTGTATCTTGCTGACAGCTCGGACCAAGTCAAGGAAAGTTCGTCGTGAATTGGGCCCCGTGTCAAACAGCAATCTATCACAGACTCAAGTCCTGCAACACAAGCCAAAGCCCATGAAACCAAGTCGTTCCCCGAACCCCTGTACTCCAAGCAAACACGGCCGAAACGTGCATCCCCAAGCCTTGCTACACCCCTCGATCCCTCCTCTGGCTTACCTGATGCCGCATCCCGTGACCAAGCAGGTTTGGGACCCTCAAGAAAACACTCCAAACTTCACACGTGGCTGCTGACACTGGGGCTGCGCTCGTCGGCTTCACCGGCTGCGTGAAGGCTGCGAGAGCTGCAGCTTCTTTGTCACACTGGTCAGCACTCTTCTCCCTGAAGGCCGGCTTTCTCGGCACACCTGCCTGCTTAGGCTCTGCCTTTGCTCTCGTCATGGCTCGGCTCACACACTGGGGCCTCTGACTAAAACTTTTCGCTGGGGTGGCCCAATACAGGGGCCGTCTTGCGCAAGATGGCCACCGTATTGGACATGTTGTTTGGGGGGGGCCAATACACTCAAGATGTGGCACCAATTCATAACGTATTGCCTACCCTCCCTGGGGGGGGCCAATACAGGGGCCGTCTTGCGCAAGACGGCCACTGTATTGGACCCCCCCAGGGGGGGTAGCCAATACCATGCGACAGTGAAGGCAAGCAAAGCTAGCAGCAGACTGGGCCTCTGGCAACCTGCAGCCAGAAGCTTGCAGTCCAGATAGCCGACCTCTGAGCTGTCTGCCTGGTGGAACCGATGGATGATTAAGGGCAAGCTAACTCACTGCTGCTGCGATGAGGCACAAGGCCTTTCATCTGACACTGAAGCCAAAGAAGAAAAACGCCTGACGAATTCAGTTCCCAAGCACGCAAAGGCAATTCAATTCTTGACTTGAAAAACGAACCCTGCCAGCCTGGCAGGAGTTTTCGTAAAGTGCCTGGTCCGACATGAGAGGAAATGTTCCTCGCATGTCGGAGCAGGCCCTTCGCGAAGTTCTCCACCTGGCGCAGCAATGATGTCTTTTATACATGGGCTCCCGATAGGGTTAAGACTAAGGGTTGGTGGTCTGGTTTAAACCCTTAAATGAAAACGAGACTCACACTGTCTGAGGCAAGCAAGCGTTGGGGCAGTCACTCTCGTGGGGTGTGGTGTTCAGGATTAGTTGCGATGTTGCCATGGCACTTGCACACTGTTCATTTTTGGGCGCGGGCGCGTGGTCTGTTCGACAGACGCACAGCTAGAACAGACAGTGCCACTCCTGCCACGACAGTATAAACGAGGAATCTGGAACTTCACATTGGCTGTCAAAGGATGACTGGTAATGTAATCATAGAGTGTTGAGAATTCGTAACAAAAAAAGGCCCCACTGTGACACTAGCCGTTTCTGGCCGCGGCTGTCGTTGATTTCCGATTGCGAGCTCGCTTAAATTTTGCGGCGTCTAGGAGCTTGGAACCCATGCCCAGGTGCCACCCCGATCCTACTCCTCTTCTCGTGCCTGGCACGTGGTCTCTGGAGACCCTGCGAACACTGCAGAGGAAGCGATGAAGCGTAGGCAAGTCGCTGACAATGTCTGCAGCGTCCTCCGGGTCTGTCAGCTTCCAACAGCTGCCTCTTTGTTGAGCGAAATGTTTCAGAATTTTTGCTGCATCCCTGTGACTCTGCCAGAATGTGTCTGTGAGGTGCAGCGAAACTGACACTTCTTTAACGGCGGACTTGTAGAAGCGGACACGAGACATGCGCGTGCCACTCAACCATTCTTTCGAAGACACCAAGCCCAAACCTTTGGCCACAACCGTGATGTACATGAGCAAGTGTCCAGACCTGAGGCAAAACACTGGACCGCTCCAAAAGATTGGAACTTACTACTGATTGATTACCTCATAGTTCTGGGGCTTTCGTAAATAAATAATTTCATCCATGTGAATAGGCCAAGCCGCCCGGATCTCATCTGCTCCACAGCCAGCACATCATCGACTACGACAATGGTGGCCTTCAGCATCTCCTGAAACGACACTGTGTCCGGCTGAGCAGGGCGAGTCGTCTGGCCTCGCAGCGGAGGATCCTCCATGCCCGCAAAGGTGACATCCAAGACCTTTGCCTCCGGGGACAAGACAGGCACGTCGGTGTCGTGTCTCAGACGTCTGTCTGCCTTCAAGAGGTCGCCTCGGCGCAGCTCAGGTCGGTCTGCTGGAAGACCCATCTGTAGTTGGGCTCTGGCTTTCTGGTTGGCGGTCTGCCTCTGCAACGTGACCCTGTGGAACTTGGCGAGAGCATTGTCCCACTGAGGGTTGCTGGCCATTTTTGTTGCCTGACGCTGCACAAAGTGTTTTCGATCGATGGCCAGGCAGGTCGCCTGCATGGAGGCAGAGTCCTCACCATAGCTTCTCACCAAATTGCTGACAGCTCGTCTTTGCTTGCGCATGAAACTGACGACAGTGTTTTCTCGCTTCTTTCTGGCTTGCCCCTTGTCTGCCCGCTCCTTGTAACACCGGAACCTTCGGCCATATTTCTCGATGTACAGGGCCTGACACTCTCGGGTAAAGTCTGACATCTGCAAGACACCACCAGACCTGACGTTGGCGTCGCCCAGATCCACGTCCTGCCCCGTGATCTGCTTCGCGATGTCTTCCTGACACTGGGGCCCGTCGAGACGGAGTTCGAGCAGCTCGGCAACTGTGACTCCATCGATGTCCATGCTGCCTTTGTGCTCGGTCAGGATGGCTTTGAGCATGCTGAGGTCGCGCTCCACCTGACACTCTCCGTCCAAAATAGAGCAATACCAGGAAACCAACACTGGCAGTGTAGAGAACTCGCCACCGCAGGCATTCAGCGGCCGACCATAGCCCAGGATCCGGGAGTCTTGCTCTTTCTGGACTTCCGCAAGTGTGGAGGGTTCAAGTAGCTCCGCCAACACTGCCTCAAATTCTGCTTCCACCTGACACTTCGTCCTCTCCAACCTCATAGCCTTGCAAAGCAAGCGGAAGGCAGCCATCAGGGTCTTGTGACAGTGCTGCCACGGTTCCGGATCGTCGTGAAGCTGAAGAGACTGCTTGGCATTCCACCAAGCCTCCAGGTCAAAGCAAGCGAACGCTGTCTGCAAGTCTCGGGGGTTCACATCTACATTGACCCTGGCCACAGTTGCGTCTACACAGGCTTGCACGGACCGCATCACCTCAAGGCAGCGGCTCTTGGTGACAGGTGTCCACAGTGTGTGTACACGGTCGCCGTACTGTATGGTCCCAGCCTGCATGGCTGTGCGCACAGCTCGCACAGTGTAGGTCTGACACTCCTCATCCTCAGCTTTTGCAAATCTGTGTCTTTAAATTTGCTGCAGGGAGTGAGTCTGGCTAACTTAGTATCATCGTATAAAAAATGAAAACTTGAAATTGAAGAAGCCATGGATCATCTTCGTCCGGGTTTTCTGACAATGCAAGGCCGTGGCTGAAGAGCGCTCTGACACTGTTGACAAACGTGTCCTTCTCCCGCAGAGTTCGAGCGGGATCATGAGACTGTGCATCATGAAGCCGCACAAAGCTCAAGACCTCATTGGTAAAGTCTGCGCTGAGGCCGGCGGTCAGCGCCCGTTCGCCGTCCAGCGCCTGCAACAGCCTTGACGAGCGCAGCCTGACACTGCTGTCGAGGCGCTCGTCCGCAGCCTGATAAGCCAGGAGCAAGGCAATGGGCAACAACAGCATGACGAACTTCGCCTGCGGTGACGCTGCACTGTCAAACCGCTGGCGGGCGAATGACAATGTCCTCGTGGCTCGCTCAATCTTCGTTGACAGTGTGTTGGCGAGTGACGTGACACTGCCAGTCTGTTTCACCAGCTCTTTCTGGATCAGCAGGAAGCGAAGCTGCCATGCGTCTGAGTTCTGAAGATCCGGAATCAGGGCATGCTTCGTGCCAGGCTGCCCGAAGATGTCGTTCCAGTACGACTGGAAATGTTGCTGCACACTGATCGGAAGGGCAGCACGCCTGATCTCGTGGGCTCGATCCAGCACGAGGAGCTTCAGGGCAGGAAAGTCCTGCTGCATGATGCGCATGCACTTCTGGTTCGCCCGATGGCCATCAGCGCTGACACTGACCAAGCGTGCTTTAAAAGCTTCCACCACTTCCTGGTCCATGGTCTCAGCATCCAAAGGGGTAGCAAACAGTTCCAAAGCCTTTGACACTGATTCTGCCATGCGGGCTGAATAGTCTTCGTCCAGGTACTTGAGTTCCCTGCTGCTCAGGGCTCCGCCATGGGTCAACAAACCCAGAACTCCAGTGACACAGGGCTCCTCCTGGGCGTCCGATTGCACCCCAAAACACAACTTGAATCGTAGCAAGCGATAAGGAGCTTTGTCGTCCATCGCCACACATATGTGCGAAGCCTGCTTGATCCAGGCCCGCTTCCTGCGGCGAGCCACCTCTGCCATGATCTTGATGAGCTTCTTGACAGCAAACCGTGACACTGCCCTTTTGCGAATGGCAATGTACGTGTCACACTGGGAGTTGCGCTCGGCCTTGAAGTAGCTGATGGGGCACTTCACCAGCTGAAATGCCTTCAACCAATCCTCACACTGTGGAACATGACCGTGGAGAAGTGCATCGTCTCCTTCTACCGGCTGCAGAAGCACCTCCAGAGGTGACGCAGGGTTCTCCAAGGACTGCCGCGCCACTTTGTGACACTCGGAAGCTGCATGGTTGGCCACCGACGCTGCCTGCAGCTGGCTTAAGCTGCGGACCTCAAAGCGTGCCCACTTGCAGTCCCATCGGCGATGTTGCCGCTTGACACTGGGCCCACCTTCTCGAAGCACCCTCGCTCGCAGATTAGAGCAAATGGCACAGCCCATTCCCCAGACACTGTCAACCACGCGTGCCTGCAGCCAGACGACTCTGACACTGTTCGTGCCCTTCTTGCACACGAACGACCCATGGCTGGCCTGCCACTGTTTGTGGTATTTTGCGTACCAACACTGCTGGCAGTCCCGCTGGAAGCAGTCGTGGTTCTGACACTGAGACTGCTGTGTCTGACACTGGCCAGAGCTTGCCGGGGACTTCGAGGACGACGATGAAGTGGCTCCACGTGTCCTCTTGCTTGCAGCACCCGTCTCTGACCCTGATTGGGTTCTTTCCACCTTCCGCTTCCGTACAGGGGCAGGTGCTTCGCCACTGCCGTAACACTGCTCCAGCTTGGACGGCATGAAAGCGAGTGCACGGGCTGGCTCGTGTCAATGTCTTAACTATTCTTCTGTCTTCTTGCAACATGACTCTGACTGTCTTTGTCGGAAGAAATACATAACAAAATTCGTTCCATGACAGCTTGATAAATGAGTGAATCACCTGAGTGCCAACATCCCCTGCCAGCACTGGAAGAAAGGCAGCACTTCACACTGCAACAGTCTTAAGTTAAAGCGAGTTGCAGACCTGACACAGGCGGCACGGAATTTCAGAAACCACTCCAAACGTGTCAGGCTGGCCAAAGCCCAACACCAACCGAGGACCCCTCCACCAGAGGCCTTGAGGCAAGTCGGCGCATCTCCCTGCGAGCATCATTGTCGTTGTTTAAAACCACAAGACAGCGATCTGAGCCTCCTGCGCTGGTTCGTCCTCGAAAACCGCAGCTAGCAGCTAGCAAAGGTGGACGGTCCTGAAGGTCCGCCCCGGCTGGCTTGGGCGGACGTCCAGGACGGCCTGCATGCCCGCCCCAGCCAGCTTGGGCGGACGTTCAAGACCGTCCGCCTCTGGCAACACACCTCCGGTCACGTCTTGGGGCGCAAAGACGCTTGCAGGATGACAAAAATGACACTGTAATAATAATAATAATAAGAATAAGAATTAGTAATAATTAAAATAATAAGAACAAGCATGATAATAATAATAATAGTAATAATAGAATAAGAATAAGAAGAATAATACTTTAATAATTACGATAATAATCTTATTTAAAATAATGATAAATAATAATCGTGATCCCAACGTGCGCACCCGGACTCGGGCCCTTGCCTGACAGTGATGCGGAGGTGCATGGTCTCTGGCCTGAGGGAAGACGTTGCTCCGTCAGCTGCTGAATCATGAGTCAGTGAGCGGTTTGCAGAACGGTCAGGCTGCAGCGCAGGCACTCTTTTTTAACTATGCAAGCTGGATCTGAATGACAATGACTGCCAGTGAGATGCACGGACACTGACACCGACCTATTTTTTTAATATACTGGCCAGTATACCTCAGAGCTGCAGCTTAGGGTTCAGAGGGCCTGGTGTTAAAGGGGAGTGTCATTGCCCACTTGCACTCACCGGACCGCATGTCGGCCAAGGAAATGACACCCTGACACTGGGTGTAGCGACGCCTCTTGACATCCTCGTCTGGGATGGGTGACACTGCCATTGCAAAGCTGATAAGACTTCTATGGCACCCAGGCAGTTTCAGGCGTTCCTGTTCGTACCGATCCACTACCGCCATGGCCTGGGCCGACGCCATGTAGGCCGTTGTCTTGCCAAAAAGCGGAACCAAAACTGTCTGACACTCGGTGGAAATGTTGTCCTTCATGACACTGTACTCGGTCTTGGACACTGTCTTGCGAACCAGCCTGACACTGACATTGACGTCGGGCTTGCCATGGTCCGCATTCTTGTTGGCATCCAGGGCCTGGCCTTTGACACTGAAGGTGCCATCGTCCAGCGAGTTGGCCTTTGGAGCTTTTGGCCGCACTTTTTTGGAGGCCACACGCTTACTCTTGACACTGGAGATCACTCGGGTCCGACACGTGCCAGGTCCAGTGGGAGTGGACGGCTTCGGAGACTCGGGGCTGCCCAGCCGCACTGGATGTGAGCATGTCTTGGCGTTGTGCTTCCCTCGCACTGGACGTGAGCATGTCTTGGAGTTGTGCTTCCCGCGCCTGCAGCTCCTACATCCAAAGCAGACGTTCTGCGGCGGACGCCTGAACGTGCGCACTTCCTGACACTGGCGGCAGAGCCATCCTGCCATCTTGGGCCAGCGACTTTCAAACTATAAATTAATGTGAAAGAGAGTGTGACCTGAGGTGTGGGAAGAGGTTAGTTTTGCGATCTGCAGCAGTGTTTTAAACTGATACGACACTCTGGCCTGCATGTCATCTCATGTCAGGTTTAAGTGGCTACTCGGAAACTGAACCAGCACGACTGTCAGTAAGCAGGCGCGACACTGCCATGCAGCTGGAAGCCCTAAATATGCAGAGTCGGCCAGCACAACTTGGACCCCGGGCGACCAGGACGAGAATGACCTCAGTCAGTGACAAAGAGAGCGGCTGTCGGGAAAAGGTCAAGTGTCAGCTCCACACCGCAGCTGCTCACTGAAGAAACACGACTCTCAGCCAGGTACAACACTGCCGCGAAGACGACACTGATCAGCAAGCGAGCACCTGCGACAGAGAAAGAAGCAGTCGCTATATAAGCCAAGTCCCTGATTCACATGCAAAAAAAGCACACGGAAGTGCCTAACACAGAAAGCTGAAGCAACACAACTCTCAGCCAGGTGCAACACTGCCGGCAGGAAGACAATCATCAGGAAGCCAGCACCTGCGACAGAAAGAGAGAACATGTGCGAAGACGTGCAGTGTCTGGCACAGCACTGTGAGCAAGGCTGCCAACCAAGGACACGCACTTTTTCAGACTCAAGTGTTCCGCAAGAGGTTTCCGGAACTCAGAGTTTTAGGGCTGCCCTGCCTCCTCGATTTGCTAATTGACTAGTAGACTGTCACTGCCATGATTCTACTATGACACTGCGTGAGTTCTTGAAAATGAAAGCAAGGCACACCCAAACTCAATTCTGACATTTCTCTCAAAAAGTGACACTGTCAAGGCGGCGGTTGCATTCGCCTCTCCAGCTGGGTCAAGGACATCTCAGCTCGGCTCGTGATCCATCCATCAAGGCCGGTCCTGCCCTTGTGCTTGGCCTGCATCCCTTGGCCCCTTAGTTCGCATCCCAGTGGCAGACACTTGCTTGCAAAGCAGACATGAAGAGTGAACTGACTGAACTTGAACGAATTCTTAAAGAGCCAGTCTAAGTCTTATCTTAATCAAGCCATGAATCAGGATGAGGGCGATGCGCACCTCGCCGTCGAAACCAAACGCCAGCAACTTGCGCAAGGCTTCGCGGCTGCCTCGCGTCAGCTGGAGGTCGTTCATCATCTCGACGAACACATCGTTCATCTGTGACAATGTAATTCGCGGCAGTGGCTCTGCGTCGTCGTCTTGGTCGTCCTGACCCTGCTGGTTTCCCACGGCCAAGGTG